TAATTGACAGCTCCTTCCTGGTGTCTACACAATTTAAACACACATATTTGTGGGACTTATTTTTTTATTGAACTGTTTCAGTCATAACGTTATGTTATTACATATAAAACTAATTTAAACATGTTGTATTTGTTATAAATTTCTTATCTATCATTCTAATCGGTGTTAACTAATATCGGCTAATTGTTTTCTTAGAAAATAACCTTTTTAATTGCTTAGCCCAGTGTTCCCATTAAATATCTTGTATTTGTCTTAACAAATTGTACATACATGGCATTTTAATACTTAAAAAATAAAACATATTTCCTAATTTTTGGTTCAATTATTTTTGGCTTAACGGTTTGTTGAATTATAAAATGATTTTAATATATATTACTAAACAATTAATGTTTGGACAACTGTAGCTCTATATATTTTAAAATAATTTATAAAATAAAGTTCATGTTTAACATTTAAAAAAACAGCGTAGGAAGAAAAAATGTAAAAACACAATAATATCTTTTTACTTTATTCAACCTACGATCTGGAGTCGATGAATACGCACTTAAGAATTATAAATGGTTCTTCTAATGTCTTCTACCGCTGAAATTAATTAATCAGGCTTAATGATGTCCTCATAACAAGACAGGCCCTCACCTGGAATCCACAAGGCAGGAGGAAGAGAAGCAGAAGAATAAATTTGAAATTTGAAATTTTGAAATTTGAAATTTTTTGCAGACCAAGAAACACCTGGAGATGTGACCTGGCAGAAGACACCAAAAAGATTGGATACACCTGGGAACAATTTGAGAGACTAGCCCAGGACAGATACGTCTGGAAAGCTCTTGTCAGCGGCCTATGTCCCAGTAGGGACGACAGGCAAACCTAACCTAACTAACCTAATGATGTCCTACCATTCAATCATAGTTATCACATCACATCTACCTGATATTTCACAATAAGTCTACCTGTCTTGTCACTTTATAAGATCCTGAATTCTCACAATCTCTGATATGCCACAATAACTTTAAGCTGTCATAATATATCTACTTGATATGTTCAAATAGATCTACGTGATTTTTCACGATACATCTGCCTTATTTAACTCTGTTTTAAAATGCTATGTTTCAACATGTGTGGAATCTTCGTTAACATTTTGTCGCATTAATCTATCGTCATGTTGTTCAAGTACTTTACTTCATTGTTTTTGGCAACATTCTGGTGTATACAGTTAAATAAGTATCTAGCTGATGGGAGCTGGAAGATTTCCTGATAGAGACTTGCCCGAATGCCGTTTGCCCGAAGGCAGATTCCCCGAAAGGACACTTGCCAGAACGCAAGAAATGCCCGAAGGGACACTTGCCCAAATACGACAAATGCCCGAATGAAACGGCATTCGGGCAAGTGTCTTTCGGAAATTTTTCGTAGACCCCTAGCTGATAGTCAGCAAATGTGCTATAACTAAAATCTTGTAATGTTCTGGTTGGTATTTTACTGCGTGGTAATTGCTAAGGGGAAGGGTGGATGTTATGCTCTACTTAAAGTTGTTAAATATAACTTATAATTAAATCTATTGTTATCAAGTTTTGTTATCCCGTCTTACCCTAAATTGCAGTTGATATATTGAGTATATAGCTGATAAAGTACTTATATTTTCAAAATGTAAATACCCTATAAGGTTACGTTTAAAAGAATAGTCTGTTGATAATGCTGTATAAACTAATAATGGACAGTTTACTTAATGCACACGTTGATTAAAACATCGATAAAAGCTATTAATGTTTCTATGTCTTGTTTAACCAGCTTAACCGTTAGCTATATTGGGCAGTAGATGCCATATCTTCTGCCATTAGTTCTTTCAGAATCGCTAAGTGTCTCTTTGATTATAAACATGCACAAACACACACAAACTCACACAAACACATACAAACACACACAAACACATACAAACACACAAACACACGAATAAAATAAAGTACCCTGTCATATTTACTAGTTGCTCTATAATAGATCTCTTGTTGCAACATAACTCCAAGGAAGCTAAACAACATTCTTACATAAGCTAATAGACATATGTTTCTTGTATTGTATGGATTTTTTAAATGACTTAGCATTTAATGTAAGACTTTCTAGATCAACTGCTCAAATGTGTACCTTAAAGCTTAGATGCGTTTAAAAATTTAATTCGTTTAACTTGTATTCATAATTATAATATAGTGGCAATCCTTCAACATTATAAAACTATTACGTGTCAAAAATGTATGCCATGTACAGCCAGTAGACTCCACTATCAGCCGGTTTTGTATTCTGGATGTTCTTTCTAAAACAATAAACTGCCCAAAAACAAACTTTACGGCAAAAGTTGTTTTATCTCGGAGTTTCATCTCCTATATGGGTTGCTCGCCCCAGGTAAACGAGCCTCATATGCTCGGGGCCTAAACTCGGGACTTTTGAATGTATTTATTTTCATTATTATGAAGCTTTTTTGTCTATATTTTTAGGTCACCATATTTAAAATTATTTTAAATGTTTATGGAATAGAACCGAGTCGTATTGATTTGTTTTTTTTTATTTTCGAAGAAGATAAGGCTATAGAATGTCAAACACAAAGAGCCACCGCATACACTTTAATCGATATGATTCACTGCCAATTTTTACATGTTATTTTTAGAGTCCATTCAAGGGTTGTCAGTAAATTAACATTCGAAGGGGGAGGGAGGGGACTATTTGGGGTGGAACGCCTCAACCAACGAAGTACGTGTTGGAGAGGGGGCCCAGGGTTATATTCATTAAGATTTTCTTAAAAAGTCATTGCTGATGTTAGATATCGTTGCAATGTTTAATTTTGTCGCTATTTATTGTGAGAAGAGAAGCATATTAAGAGCCATGTGACCATATAGATAGAATGTGCGTGGGGAAAATGTGTGGAAACATAATTTATGCGATTTAAGTGAAATTGATCATTTTTTATATTCTTCACCCAGCATGATCACCCACACCAAGCAGGGTTGGACATCATTTTATGAGAGAGGGTTATGTTTATATTAGTGAAAGCTCACGACAATGAGGTGAAGTAAAACTCGGTTGTACAACATATTGTTATTAATGAAAGGACTTGTTAAGAAACAAACTACAGAGACACTATAAGGTTTATTTTTAGAATAAGAGAAAATTGACTGGATTTTATCCAAAGCTTTCGTCTAAATTTATTTTTTAGCTTCTTTTGCAAATCATCCACGTCTTTTTTTTTTTAAGCTGCGGACAGCAGTGCTTAAAAATTTGAATGTTTGTGTATGTGTGTTTTAATGTGCGAAAGTATTTGCAATACGCAATTACTACTGCAGAGGATTACAAACTGTTTGCATTATTAACGACTTGACATAGAAGTACCACATACACTTTTCTTAACATGGTGTTACCATCGGGAATTCCAAACAACTAATCCATTTATAATGTAAAGAATTATTTTTAGCTCGGTGCTGGCAGCGTGTGTAGCCAAGAGCTACAGGTAAACAGTAACCCCCCCCCCCCCACTGCCAACTCTCCACCCCACTACGTGCCCTCAATCAACGACCACCAGAACAAGAGGTGCTTCAAGTTACAGCTATTGACAACGTTGTGTCTGTAGCTCTATGTGTTTATTCTTTACAAGTTTTAAACGTCTTTTATATTTTAAAATTTAACTCTTAAAATCATTTATATATATATATATATATATATATATATATATATATATATATATATATATATATATATATATATATATATATATATATATATATATTTGTTTGCTTATGTGTATATGTTTGAATAATATTTTCATTTTAATATCTTCATTTTACAGTAACAAACTACCCCGTAGTTTTCTCTCGATGATTCTGGAGTAACTGATTTAAAAAGAAAATGCCTAGAATGGCTGCCTTTCTATCATTTAACATTTTGGTTTGGCTAACATGGGTGTTGAATGCATTGTTATGTCATATCATCATGCCAATAATGAAGGTAACATCAAAATTCGTAATTAAATATCACACACCCAAACATTCCAGAACATCAAATTTTGACAAGAATGAGATAAAAACAAAGGAACATTTTAATTGAATATGTATCTGTTTGTTTTCGTATGCAACACATAAATTAAGATAAAGACCTAAATAAATAACAACACACGCATTTTGTAAGAGTATAAATATTTACGATTTATAAGTAATACGCTGTTTAATAGTTGAATTCAATAAAATGAGAAAAAAAATCTGGCAAACACGTATATTTTTAAGAAATTATCCTGGCTGTTTGACAACCTTTACGTGACGGCAATGATTTTATTCCCAACTCTGGAATAAGCCCGATCTTAATACATTCAACACAAAGAAAAAGGTAAGATTTATTTTTAGTAATGGATCAATAAGTATCGATCAAGTTGAACTTCCATTCTTTGACGTGGGTAAAGACTTTAAGAAGAGAATAAACTATGACTGACGGGATCTAATTTATAGACGGTTCTCTCTCTGTAGTGTCATGCGGTACAAGATTATATAAACATGATTGAAAAATAAAACGATACATAAAACGTATTATTATGATACGAATAAGTTTAAATTTTCTGTAGTTGTTAGAAGACAAAACTAATTTGTTAAATCGCATTGCAGTCGACACATCAAATAGTCTTATATGCCCCGGGTCAAGAACGCAATAATGGCGGGTCAGTAAATGTTTTTGGCTTACTAGTGACCCGCCATCCAACGACACAAGTATTGACACTACAGAAAGACCAGCTCACCCTCACTTCACCGCCAACATTTCATAGCTCCTCTCTATGTACAACATCGCATAGTTCTTATCCTTAATATCACCATCCACCACATATTGTCACTCAAGTCATGACCCACACCACCTTCTACCCTTTAACAGTGTATATCGAAGTGAACAACACCAACACATAAAAGACATGCAGGGATTTCCCCAGATCTATGCAGGTCATGTCTATTTTTAGAATCGTCTATGTATATGTATATATAAGCCTGGAAACCAGGAGCTACCAGTACACATAGCAGACAGAGCTTTGAAGCTGTGTAAAGCAAATATTCTCTGGTAAGTAAAGATACGATATCTAGTGTTAGTGTGTGTATTTTTGATTGTATCGTCTAATGCCACTATAGTAGATATAAAATGGTATGTCTTTTTATCTTAACCCAAAATAATAATATCAATTCTTTTTTCATGTTATAAACATTACGTATTTTGTTTTATTTTTATTTTATTTTAATTTATTTTTTAAGCTCGTAAAATTTAATAGCATTACAAGCTTTTTAAAAATTTAAAAACAATATTTTTGTATCGCTTGTACGATAAGGGGTTATCCATAAATGACGTCACGCTTTTTTGACGATTTTTACCTCCCTCCTCCCCTCCGTCACACATCGTCACAAAAAGCCATACCCCTCTAAAATGACATCACACCTCTGTCTACAACCCTCCTCGAAATTGCAGTTGAATTTTTCTTAAAACGTCGATATTTTTCCAAAATCTTGTCTGAACTCTGTCAAATAAGAGTATTTTAATCAATTCCTAGTGCAATTTATTTAAAAAGTTTTCAAAAACTAGGGGTGTCAGACTGATTTTTTAAAACGGTCCCAGAGCTTTTTTGAAAGTTGCTATGTCAAGAACTCATGACTCTAAAATAGTGGGCACTAAATTTGTTCATATATCTCAAATAGTAAAAAAGTTATGACGTTTTAAAAAAAAATGGTGTTTTAAATTTTTTTCCAACACCCTAAAAGGTGCCATGATTGGGAGGTTATATCTGTAAAAGTATATGTCACAAACAAAATCTTTTGAACTCATTACAAACACACAGAAAACAAAGAGAACAGACTCATTTTTTTAAAAACTAAAAAGTAAAAAAAAAAGAATTTTTAAATTTAAATTTAAATTAATTGCATTGAATTTGACTTTTCTCAGTTTTTGAAAAAATTAAAAAGGGAAGTAAAAAACAGAAATTTTGTACGTTTTTAAAACATCACCAAAAAATGTCCGATGAAAGAATATACTTGATAAGTATTTGAAAATGTAGGACAACAACGCTTCTTTTAATTTAAGTTTCATGTATGCCTATAACAAGTACGTTTGAAACACACGTTTGATCAGAAGAGTGCAGAGGTTCACAATATGTCGAAAATGAGTCTTTTTTTTTAATTCCAAAAAAAAAATATGACACCTACAGTAGATCTGAGTACATAGACATAAAGGATAATCATAGCTCTTAACAGGTAAATATTGTTTCTGTCTGTGATTATTTATATGCGATCCAATGGCGGCTGGAACAGTGCTAGGGTCGCATAAGAAATTTTTTGTTGTTGAAATAATTATTAGTGTCTAGAACCAGTAGTACATTTAAAAGAAAGAACATTTATTTAGAATGCCTCGGTCGATGTATCTTTATGTTATAAATATGTATTTATACATAGCTGGTTCAACAATTTTTGCGATATGGTAGGGCTACATCACAATACACATGCTTATTAAATACAAATACGTTGTTTAAATAGATAAACATGCTAGTCTTGCATTCTCACCCTTAGTGTCTTAACAGTCGTTCTTCACAACTATAACCTGAAAATATGTAATCAATAGCCACAATAATCACCATAAACGGTCTACATAATTTATAGGACGTAACAAGGATTTTTTCTTAAAGGAATCTAAAGAGGGTTTATTTCCAAGCTGACTGCAAAGTGTAAATGCATCTGCACTCGTGCACTGATCATTAATATATATTGACATTGTTACAACTGTAGTAAATATCTCGCTCCTCCCCCCCCTCCCCACATTCCAGGTAAGTTTTGGGAGGCATTAACATAACATATAGTTAAAATTGAAATAAAAGAACACACTAAAAATCGATTTCTTTGTTAATGTAAAGTATTTCAAGCTACACATCATGTACTGTTTAGTTTAAAATCATCGCTAAAACCCAACCAATGCATCAAATTTGCAAAGTTTTCTAATTTAAACTATACCCATTCATTGCTGACTCTGGCGACGAAGTGTACGATCACGGGACCTTTTACATTTAAAAGGAAAATATATTAAGCTATTCTAAAAATATTTTAACCGACTTATTATGGTTCTTTTATTTTATTAGATTTTCTTACATTATCCCTTTACAATCTTTTTGTAATGTAATTTTTCTTATTTAATGAAGATGTATCCACATTTGTTAAATAAAGTTATGTGGTAATGAAAAAAATCTTTAAAACTTTATATTTATGTATAGTGAGATATATGTGGTTTATAGAAGGTTGTGGGTAATATTGAACATGAAAAAGAATATAACAATGCAGTCTACAACGTTTTGGGTAATTTTAAAACATAATTAATAATTACATAAGTAAATGAATTTAAATATCCTATGGCCAATCATGTTTAACACGATGCACGATGGAATTTTATAGGAAATATATTCTTTTAACAGTGTCAGCCCCCCCCCCCCCCCCCTCACCGGAAATTTTTTTCCAAGAAAATTTCAAGTGCAACCCCTGAGAAAAAAGTCTGGAAGAAACTTTGGCTTGAAAACGAGCACATCAGTTTAAATGTATGATACTCTTGATCTTTATAGGGTAAATGTACAGCGTAGAACGTTCTCTCCACACACTAAAGTGCAACAACACTCAACGGACTCATTTGTTGGAAGTATTAGCTAGATGTCACTTTCATTTAAAATATTGTATTTCTAATACTGCATAAAATAATATCAAAGTAAGACCTGTCAAACAAGAGCTGCATACTTTCTATAATTATTGAAAGGTGTTGAATATTCTAACAAATTACAGTATTAGTCCTTAATTTTTATTAAAGATTTCAGGGCCCACAACTGTATTTGCCCCACAACCCCGACGTTAAGGGGGTTTGAGACATTTAGTTCCTCCACTGGTTTCCTAACATTAAAATATATCAGGATCTGCATTCGGTATATTCTTAGAGCTTATAAAATCAGGGAACTCGTCAGTGCTTTTACTGGAAACGGAAAACAATTTGAAAATCAAATTTAACGTAACACAACAAGTAGACAAGGGATCGAGCATTTGCATGTATTGAATAAGTTGACAGCGTATGTCTAATTTATTTTTGTAGCTGACTTCAAATGCGATAAATGCTAATAATTTTCACCTTGATATAATAAAATGACAAAAAAAATATAGAGGAACGCAAATGTCAAGACAATGTGAAAACGAAAATCAGATAACGCCTAATATCTCTCTCCTTTACACGCACAAACTTACTTACACATGCATATATATATATATATATATATATATATATATATATATATATATATATATATATATATATATATATATATATATATATATATATATATATATATATATGTATATATGTATATATGTATATATATATGTATATATATATGTATATATATATGTATATATATATGTATATATATATATATATATATATATATATATATATATATATATATATATATATATGTATATATATATATGTATATATGTGTATATATATATATTATATATATATATATATATATATATATATATATATATATATATATATATATATATATATATATATATATATATATATATATATATATATATATATATAAGAGGCTCTATTGTGTCTCATGATACAATGGATGCACGCTCGTTAGTGCAATTTTAGGGTTACGTACCAAGACAGAAGTTACGATATCATGAGTTGACCATCGAGATCCCTCTCCATATCTACCTATTGGTATAGAATAAATGAATTACGTTTGGTAATCGCCGTTGCAGAATCCACAAACTGATCGCTAGGTTGATAATCCTAGCGCCTAAGCATTTTTATCCCATTTATTTTAGAGTTTTCTCTCCTCGATGGATTGCTGCCCTAACTAGTCTCATAAGCCCAGAACTTTAAAAGAATGGCGGGTCAGCAAATGTCTTTGACTGACTTGTTTAACGACCCGCCATCCAACAAACCAGGTATTGTTATACAAAAGTGACAGATCTCCATGACTTCACTCATAAAAAAACATATCATAATTCCTCTTTATGTACAACATGTTACAGTTCTTAGACCTATCACAAATTAACAACACGTGAAGGGAAACTTGAATTTCTCATGATGATGTCTTTTTTTTAGAATCGTATATGTATAAATAAGACTGGAAACCAAGAGCTACTAGTACACAGACCAGACATGGCAGCGATAGACACAGTGTAATGCAAACTTGTCCCGTAAGTAAAGATACGATATCCAGTTCAGTATATCTTTGTGTATTTTAAATTCATTCTACGCATGACCTTTCCGTCCTCGCCCCTTAATGTAAAAATTATTTGTGCTGATTTTCTCTCATCATACTGACACTGAATATAGTTGTTTTTAAATTATTTTAAATTATTTTTAAATGTTAATTACAGTATGTAGCGAAAACGCGACATCATGCAATTATGGACCAAACAGTAATTTTTTTTTTTTTAGTCCGGGTCATTTTATTATGTTTACTGACATGTGTTTCTCTAAATATCCACATACAAACAATAGAATATCACAAACTAAACATGCGGAAATGCAAGGAGATGTAGACTCACTTGAGAAATTCATGAAAACTATAGTTTATTAGCTCAAGAATAGAGTTACACCTGCTTACTGACTAACTTTTATGAATGTGTATTTTGAAGCCTTGCTGTCGTGGTTCTACTACACTACAGTAACACACTACAAATGTAAGCCCTGCTAAGGGGGGATACCTAATATCTGTCTACCCTTCCCTAGGCTTATCAACTACTGTCCGGTCAGTGCAAGTCCGGTAACCCAGACTGGTTAATAACCTAACCTTAGTCTAAATTAAAAACAAAAAACTTTTAACAATTTAATAAAATTTATTGCATGGAACCAAAATTATATAAATAAAAAATAGATTAACAAAACAGAACTTTAACGTAACAAAACACTGTAACAAAACAAACTTTTTACACCACACAAAACATTACGTTTGATCATTTGATGGTGTTGCGCCGACTTATGATGTCTAGGATGGTCCAGGCCCTGACACACAGAAACCTCCCTTCATCCATTCTCGACATCCAAAAGTCCACACCAAACAAAACACTACGTAAAACCACTACGTACAATACGTTACGTACAAAACAATACGTACACAACAAACTTTTTACACCAAACAAAACAATTCATATATAACAAAACACCCAGCCAAGTTGCCCAAGCAACCTCACTGGAAGGGGGGGGGAGAGAAAAAGAAAAGGAAAACATAAGAAAAATGCATGGTAATGGCAGATATATACATAAATATATACACAAGTTCAAAATGCTATCTAGCTAAAGCCTCGAGTAAAACTAATCCTTACTATACAATTCTAAAAGCAATTCTCAAAAACAACTAACCACTGTCTAAAGAAGAACTAGCAACTTAAAAATAACGTGTAAACAAATTCATTGTAGAACCAATCTTTCCTACACAAGGAGCAGCCCGAAGCCATTGGTCTACATAAACAATATCCATATTGATAACATTAAAGTTAACACACTCCGCTAAGGCCCCAATGAAGGCAGACACAAAGCAAGCGATACTCAACATGACGTTGCACGAAACAGCACACACATTAATTTTAAACCACCTAAAACTCGAGGCAACTAAAATATGCTAATCTAATTACTGTCTAAAACAACTGACTATTGACTAAGCCAATCCTAGTCAATAACACATCATAAAACAATCAAGTAAATACACACACGCATTCACACTAGTTTAGGAAACACTCCTAAACACACTGACCTAAACCACGTGGTCCGAAAACACACGCCAAGGGTTTAGAAAACATTACAAATACATTTTAAATCATTCAAAATAACACCACGTGCATACCAGACATGCCGATGCTCACTATCTCGTTTTAGACGAAAATGAAAGAAAACGAGAAACATTGGCAGTCGCATTCATACAAATCACATAAAGATACAGTGTAATAAAACAATTACCTCCACGCGTGCGGTGCGCCATGCGCCCACACAGAAACCTGACCCGACCTACATCTCGCCGCGGGTCAAAAAAGGGAAGAAAATCACTCCGAGCGGTCAATTTATACTGACCGCTTCGGACGGAAGGGGACTCCGTGGCCGCTCCCCATTGGACCACCATGCACTCCCAGATTCACAACAAATAAAATAATACAAAATAATCCATTCACCCGCTCACACAAATGAAAGGACTTTCTCATGTGTAGAAAATTAGTTGTCCGCGATTACGTCATTTTCATGACCTTCTATTCAAAATCAACTTATAAAGACGCATATTTCTCACTTGACCTATATTTGATCTACACACAAAGCACTTGAACATATACTATCAAATTATGATAGTGTTCAGCCGTTTTATATTCTTCTATGCTCAATGCAGCTGCTGTGAGTACTTGTTGTAACTTTGTGGGTATAGAGTGAATAATAAAGCTATTAATATTTTCTGCAGCAAAAACTGATCACATTTTTAGAAAAAAATAATTTATGTAAGTAGCCTGAATTCACGAAGTCAAAAAAAAATACGATGCGCGTGAGTCAATAGTGTGTGAAGTCATAAATTTCGACTTGACAACGTAATCATTAGTACCGATACAACCGCCTGGATGTACCCAATACACCACGACCGGGAGCAGTAGGATAAATGCACCTATGCGCATATGCTATGCGCTAAATCGGTATGTCGCGAAAACGCGACTTGCGGCGTTAAGGGGCTATAGCCCGTCTGTTGATCTCGACGCTGGGGATCTATCACTTCCTTCATTCAGTGTAATAATATTCTGTTAAAGACTTTGCCTGGGATTGACAAAAATGTTATCCCTCTATTGTTGGAATATGTACCAAGATCGCATTTTTTTGGAAGTTTTATGAGTAGTCCCTCCTTCTACTCCTCTTGTATTCGTTCATCTTCCCTGATTTTCTTGAAGAGTGTGTATAATAGTGTGGTACTGTCAGTGCTTCTGCCGGTATACCATCTATTCTTGGAGCCTTCCAATTTTTCAGCTGCTTTATAGCTTTATGTATCTCTTCTTTTGAAAGTGGGTTGCAGTCTATAGGGATGTCACTTTCATCTTGCGTGCACTCTGGTGTTGATCTATTCAGTAGTTCTTAAAAATGTTCTGCCCATCTCTTCCTCTGTCCTACTGCATCAGATAGTATCTTTCCATTTTTGGTCTTCACTTGTCTCTCTGGCTTACTGTACTTCCCAGATATCTTCTTAATTGTATTGTATATGTCCCAAATATTCCCAATGTAAAGTGCTTCTTCTACTTCACTTGACAGCCGTTCAAAATAACTCCGCTTGTCTTTCCTTATGCATTGTATGCATTTCTTGACACTTTTGTTTACTTTAGCATAATCTTCCATGGCTTTTAATTTAGTAGCCCGTGTGCGGCTGATTTTTAATGTTGCCTTCTCCCCTTTTCTCTTCTCAATGATTTTCAGAATATCTGCTGAAATCCATTCCTTATTTTGCTTTTGATAGGACATAGCACTTCTTCACATGCTGACTTAAATAGGTTTATTGTTTTTTTCCATTATTCCTCAATCGTCTCTTCCTCTAGGACCTGAAACTTGATGGAAATATTGAGCTTAAATTCTGTTAGCTTAGAGGGGTCCTAAAGTAGGCCAGTGTTATACATGTACTACATTGGCCATTTGAAATTGAAACATTTAGTTTCGTGGTGGATATCCCAAAGAAACTAAACTAGCAGAATGTAAAACTGAAAGGAAAGGAAAACCTAGCATATTCATTGCTTGAAGAAGTGGTTTGTTTCGAAAAAAAAATGTGTTGAAGACATGTAGAGTGGTAAATTACTTAATTTTGAAAATTCTGAAAAAAATATTGATATGAAACCAATGCTACTACTAACATGAATCACTTCAGCATTACTATAAACAAAATGAAGGATGTTTCACTGAGAAATTGTATCAATTCAAAACAAATGCAAGTACTATGATGTTCATAGTAGATCCTCTCAACACAAAAACAAATGAGATTAACTTTGAGCTATTTGGGATTGATGGTATGTTAGCTTCAAATGAAATGATGGAATGGAAAACCAAACATTTGTGGAGTGGTAACTTCTCTAAACTCAAGAGCAAGTTAGGAGAGTGTGACGGACAGTAAAACAAGCACGTTGCGCTGCACAAGTGGACTACTCTAAAAGAAATGGGGTTATTGAGGCAAAATAATGTGAAACATGAAATAGTTTTACATAATGGTACAATTAGGTAAAGAAGTGATTAGAGTGATGACGATCTTCGGGTCAACGTATTCATGCGAGCAAATATTTCCTTGCATGAATATAATGAATAAAAGTAAAGAAGCCATTTAACAAAAAACAAATCTATATGCTTGCTTGAAACTGAAACTACAAGTTAAGATCCAGATTTAATCAAACTTTAAAAAGACATGCTATGCTAAACTATTGTAAATATTATTCAACAATTAAGTTGTGTAATTTGATTAATTATTTTATTATTCTAGCAGAGTTAGCTAAAATAGGGTGATTTATTTCGGGCGAAAAATGTGTATGTTACATATATATATATATATATATATATATATATATATATATATATATATATATATATATATATATATATATATATATATATATATATATATATATATATATGTCACCAAGTAGTAGTAGCGGCGGCCAGCAGCATGTGTGTCGTTCTTTGTTAGGTCTTGTGCGACCCCTTCCTCACGGTACCCAAATGCGACAGAGACGTGTACAATCTCCTGTCTGAAGGTATTTGCGCGACTTAGGAAATCCCACGTCTAGGCCGAGGACACCTCATTTGGTACCGATCCACCTACCTGATATAAAGAAGCACACTCTGCCCGCAGGTTCAATATTACTTCAATTTATTTCTTCTTGAATAATCACAGTTCAGATAATTAGGTGAATCTCACCAGACCTCCACTGTCACAGGCCCACAAACTGTATCACTCCGTAACTCAGTCTATTAACAATTGTATCTCATATCTTCTGTCTCTCAGCTCACATCTTCTATCTCTACGTTTCTGCATATATCTGTCTCGCTCTACATCTTCAGTCTGGCTCTCACTCTGGCTATGGCTCTCGCTCTCTCATACCCAAAAGTATCGCGCTTATATACACACACAGTCACACCCAGATGTACATCCGGTGTTGTCAACAATGTCAAACCATTCTATTTCGATACCAACTAT